GGAGAGAGAGCACAAGCAAGGAACTCAGGACCGCGAGGGGTGCACCCATACACTGAGACAAGGGGGATGTTCTATCGGGAACTCACCAAGGCCAGCTGGCCTGGGTCTGAAAAAGCCCGGGTTAAAACCGGTCTCTTGGCTCTTTTTTGACCCCGCCCCTCTTTCAGTCCTCACTACCCCTCCTCCCCCCATCCCTGCCAGTCCTCACATGGCCCAGTTCAGTCTACTGGCCGTGTTTAACCCACTACTTTCTCTCCCTGCTTTGGACTCTTCCAGATGCCTCTGGTTGTTCTACCCTTCATATCTACAATATAAACCTTCTCCTCAGCCATACCTTGACGTGGTCATGTCCTCACTTTACACAGCACGTAGAGGTCCAAAGTCAACTTTGTCGAGTTAGTGCTTTCCTTCTGCCTTTGTATGGGTTCCTGGAATTGAACTCAGGTCCTTGTGTTTGCAAGACAGACACTTTGCTAACTGAGTAATTTCCCTAGCTCCTACTTCAATAACATTTTTCTGTTATTTCTTTGTTTGTTTTTGGACAGGATTTCTCTGTGCAATCCAAGTTGTCCTGGGGCTTGCTCTGTATACCAGGCTGGCCTCAAACGCAGAGTTAACCAGCCTCTGCCTCCTGAGTGCTGGGATTAATGGCATGCACCATCATGCCCAGCTTTCAATCCAAAGCTAAACTCTGCCAGCTGCTATTCAGTGTCCCCTCTTTGTGACTGAGGTCATGAAATCCTAAACTCTGGGAAGAGCTCATCACACACCCACATGGGTATTCCCCTCCTATGACCCAGACACTCTTATCATCTGCCTTTGTAAGGAGCCAGTGTGGACCAGTTGCTTCATGTCTTGGTTGGTGATGACAGAAACATAGATTTCTTATAGCCTGCTGGCTAATCCCTGTCCCTTGCTCTTCACCTGTCCACCAGGATCTCTCTGGAAACTTCTCAGGCTTGTGCCAGACCTAGAATCTGGTATGCCTACCCTTGAGAGGCTTAAAGGAGGAAAAAAACCACTCAGGTCACCTGATGCCCCTGGAAAGACCTGGCTTTGCAGCAGAAGTCACTTTGGTGGTGATGGCTGTCCTTGTTGGTAATTTTAGTTCCTTTCTAGTCAGAATTTCAGCCTGTTGGGAAGAGCTGTCTCTAAGTATCTGTGTCACTCCATCCCTTGTAAGTGTTTCTCCCGCGGGGCGTGGGGGCACATGCTTCTAATTCCAAGCACTCAGAAGGCAGAGGCAGTACAAGACCAGCCTGTTTTAAATATGAGTTCTAAGCCATGTCTCAAACAAAACAAAACAAATGCTCTTCCAATATAAATAATGCCATGCCTTATGTTCTAGTCTCATTCTGTTGCTGTGATAAAATATCCCCCCAAAGCAACTTAGAGGAGGGGAAACCGTCCTGAGCAACTCCAGGAAGGATGTTACGGATGCAGGAGCATGAGACAGACAGCAGGCCACATCGCATCCAGTCGAGAGAGAGAGAGAGAGAGAGAGAGAGAGAGAGAGAGAGAGAGAGAGAGAGAGAGAGGCATCCATGCTGCCAGCTTGCTCACTGGCTGCCTTTCTTCACTCTCAGACAGTTCAGGGCCCAGCCTAGAGATTGGTGCTGATTCGAGGGGGCTAAGTCTTCCTACATCAACTAACAATCAAGATAATCCCTTACAGGCAAATCTGATCCGGTAACCCTCATTACAGGCAAACCTCATTAAGATTCTCTTCCCAGATGATACGAGGGGGTGAAATTTACAATGAAAACTAACCTGAACATTCATTTGCATGAAATTGAAATTCAATAATTGGAACTTTATAAAAATCAGAGACATCATTAGTAATGATAAAGAACATAGCTGTGACCACAAGAGACGACATAGGGGGCTAAGTTGAGAACATTCTCACGGAAAGAGCCGCTAAGCAGGGTTAGTGGTACATAACCCTCAGCCCTGCACTCAGACGGAAGCAGGAAGGCAGGAGCTCACAGCCATCCTGGGACGAGGAATCCTGTCTCAAGCTAAACCAATGAACAAGAATGAAAGGCCCAGGTGACTTCAAAAATCTTAATCCAAGTCCTAAAACTGTCATGCTACTCAAAGAAAAAGAGAATGCCTCTTTCTTCCCTGGGCTCTGTAAAATCAAATTCATTGGGAATTTTAAAAATTGGGATTTTTTAAAAAATATCTGAGAAGCCTCCTAACACTGGAGAGTCAGAGGCAGGTGGATGTTTGTGAGTTTGAGGCCAACCTGGTCTACACAGTCAGCCCTAGGACAGCCAAGGCTATGCCTCAAAAACCAAAAATAAATAAATAGCCAACAGGATGGGAGCATTGTCTTGCCTCTGCTTGTATGCGCAGATTCCTGCCTGTGAGATGAGGGTGCTGAGCCCCAAATTCTTAGAGAACCCTCCTGAAGCCATCTTGGCCTTCTGCAGTCACATAACTTACGGCTAGACTAGAGGCGGGGCGCCTGGAAGGAGAAATGTGGGGGGGGGGTGAGCAACCCGCACTCGGTCACTTTAGTGAGATGTCACAGGTATCTGTTTGTTAGCATTGCTAGTACAAAGTGTTACAAGCTGAGTGGCTTCTGCGGTGGAAACTGTTGTGTCCTGATGCTGATGGCTAGCAGTTGGGAGGCAGACTTGCTTATGTCTGAGGGCTGTGCACGGCTGGGCTTCCTGTTCTTATAGTTTCTCCCTGTGCGCAAGTCTCTGAGTTTAAGCCTCCCCTTCCTATCAGGACCCCAGTTATTTTTAGCTTAGGACCCACCCTGATGACTTTAATTTTAAACTAATTGCCTTGAAGACCCTATCTCTAAATAACATTCAAATTCTGAGGACTTTTAGGACCTCAGTATGTAAACACTGAGAGACACGATTTAAACACCAGCCAACCTGCCTGGCTTTGGTTTCCTATTAGAAGAGAAAGCTGGCCTTAATGCTCCTTAAGGGCTCTTTCAGCCCCAGTGTTCCAAGATTTACTCAGCCCTTTGCAGCTGCCAAACCTGGCCCCACCATCCACTCGGCTCTAAATACAAGAATTTTCCCTCCTTGGTCCTGCCAGGCAGCCCTGGAGCCGGGGGGAAATGAGGGAGGAAATGCTACAAGGGTGGAGTTTCCCTTTAACTTTTTATCATTTGCACCGGCTCTGTAACGGGACAAACATTCATGGCAGAGTGAAATGGGGGTCCTGACACCCTAAAGCAATGACATGCGTTCCTTTCGCAAGTATGATGCGTCACGCTCCCCAGCTGTAGCCGATACAACCCGTCCAGGAGAGCTGCCCCGGCGTTCTGCTCTCTCTGCCAGCTCATTAGCTGCAGAATGCTTCCCAGCTGTCAGCCAGCCAGGCGAGGAACGAACTGGAACCCAGCCTGTGCTGCAGGGATCCGGAGGGTCAGAGGAGGGACCGGGAGGGGAAAGAGGACCTGGAGGAGAAGGCAAAAGGGAGAGAGAGACAGAGGGGATGGAGGAGGAAGGGAGAGGTGGGGAAAGGAAAGGAGGGGAGAGGCAGGGAGGCGAAGGAGGAGGGAAATGTCCATGGCCTGGAGAGGTGACCAGGTTTCTTCAAGGGCTCAGACGGGAAGGGCAAAGGGCATGAGGAGGCCCAGCGATCACACAAATTATGGTGTGGCCAGCATCATCTTTAGGGAGAATTTAGAAAAATTGGGGTTTACTCACCTATAAATAAAAAAAAAAAAAAACATGGGTTTTAGAAGCCTAACCTAAGGACATGAAACCTATATAAGGAAGCAGTGCTGGGCTGTAGTTAACCCAGGGCCCAGGACAGCCCACTTCCTTTCCTTGTGCCTTTTTTATTCGTCTCTAAATGTGGAGACGGTAAGACCATTGCCGAACTTAAAAATACTTTTTGTCTGAATCACCTGACTCGCCCCCCCACCCCGCCCCCAACCACCGTACTTCTAGCCAGTAAGGAATCTTCCATGGCCACCCCATCAGCCCAGCAGATCTTGCTGGAAGCTCCCAGCACACCAGATGTTGAGCACAGGCAGGCCACAAGCCCCACTGCTAACCAACTGTGCTTGTCTCAAGGACGTGCCAGACCTTTATGTTTGGGCCTTTTTTATTAGGAGTGTTTGGCTCCCTTTTCACACAGTCTGGAGAGATTCCCGCTCTGGACTCTCTCCCCAGCTTTTATGATGTTAGAGAACGATCCGTGTGTGCCGCTTTCTGGCTCCGAGTGTGTCCACGTCTCTCCTTCATTTTCCACCTTGTGTGGCAGTGGAGGGAAAAGCCAGCCTTGGGACCCTGTTCCCGCTATGAAATGCATGATTGGGCAAAGGGTCTCCGCAGGCAGAAAACTGGTTAATGTGTCGTGGAAAACATCGGTGGTGTTTGTGGGTTGAGCCTGATTATAATACATGTGACAGCTTCCTGTGGTTCAACCCCATATCTCAGCTGGGTTAGCCTCGTCCTGTGTACCTCCAGCTGCTACATTTTCCTGTCTCTTACCCTCCGTCCCCCCAACGCTGACTTCTCATGGGTTCCTCTCCACTACAGGTGACCTTAGGGTGCTGAACCTGGTATTTGGGGAATCATATTCATTTTTTATTTTTTAAAATAACGACGAATAAATCGGATCTCATGTATCCCAGGCTAGCTTCAAATTCACTAGCCAAGAATGACCTTGAATTTTTGATCCTTCTGCCTCTCCTTCTCAAGGGCTGAGAGTATAGGTGTGTGCTGTTGTTCTTGGTTTATGACTTGCTAGAAATCACACCCTAACTCCACGCAGGCTAGGCCAGCACTGTCCCCTGAACCATATCCCAAGCCCCATTTACTCATTCTAAAGCAAAGATTATCTGTGTCCCCTGGACCATGCACAGCTTAGTCATAAGGACTCCAGTCCAGGAAAGACTTCCTGCCTGGGAGGAACTTCTGGTCTACTGTCTCCTGGTCCATGACAGCTTCTGAACTTAGATTTGACTTTAGTTTTTGAACTCGTGATACCCACACTTCCTTCTCAAGGAAGACCCTGACGTCCTTGTTAGAACAGAGCATGGATATCTGCCAGATCTCAAACCCCAGCCAGACTCCCAGTCTCCTCTGTTCTCATCCTTCCTGTTTCTGCCTGGAGCTCTGTGCCTGCGGCATCTCCTGGAGTTTACAAAATCTGTCCGTGTGTAAAGGTTAGTCCGGGAGGCACCGGGCTACAAAGTCACTAGGACATTGATTCTGTGGGGTCCCTGTCCCACCCATTGTCCTCAGAGTCCGCCTCAGCCTAACCATATTGGCCATGGTCTTAGAGGCGAGTGTGTCTGAGGCCCCCCCCCCCCGCCCCGTCAGACAGAACCGTGGGAGGTGGGGGAGAAGAATGTCCCCCTTAGCAGCCCGTCCAGATGACTGAGTTGTCTGAGTGACAACTGGGCTTTGCCTTCCATCAGGGTATGCTGTGCTATGATGAGCAGAGGAAGACACTGAACAGTGAGCTCGGCTGAGGAAGCCATCACACCAAGAGAACATGCCCATCCCAGTGCTTACCCGGCCTCTAACACGGAGGGACAGCCAAACCTCTCCTAGTGCGTGTTCCATAGCTGGCCCTGGGCTCCTCAAACTCATCCACGTTGAGCAAGCTTGAGGCACCACTGTCACTCCTCCTTTGAGGAACTGAGGCAGGAGGATTGAGAGTTCCCAGTCAACCTGAGCTACGGAATGAGACCCTGACACCCCCTGTCCCCTCTGCCTCAAAAAGCCAATGTCAAAAAAAGGAACACTCCCCCACAAACCAGAAAGCTGTTCCAGAGTGAAGGTAAGAACAACAACAAAAGACAATAAGATGGTAATGCATGATCCCTGGCCAGATCCTGGGCTGAAAACAATGCAGTTGTAAAGGACTTTGTGTGTGTGTGTGTGTGTGTGTGTGTGTGTGTGTGTGTGTGTGTGTGTGTCTGTGCGCGCGCATGTCTGTGTGTGTGCATGTGTGTGTGCATGTTATGTGCACGTGCATGTGTACATGTGTGTGCCTGTATATGTATGTGTGCGTGTATGTGTGTGCATGTATGTGTACATGTTATATGTACTTGTGTGTGCGCCTGTATATGTATGTGTGCATGTATGTGTGTGCACATATATATCTGTGTGTGTAGAAAAATATTTAAAAAATAGCAAATCTAAATAAAACGTGTATGGCCTGTCAGCAGGCTGCTTTCTCACGTTGACTGTCTGAAAATCTCAGAATAAGTTGGGAGCACTCCCGTGAGCCAGCGGTGGGTGAGTGGACAGTGGGGACCAAGAGGTCGCCAATAGTCTGACAGCGACCGAGGGACAGGGTAACAGCAAAAAATCCAGGCAGCAAAGCAGCCACAGCAGGAGGACCCTGCAGCTTGGAGCCCACCTGGACACTCTGTCCGTGACACCATCTGGTGACCAGGTGCTGCAGCAACATGAGAATTCCAGGCCAACTGACAAGCAGAGAACTCCGGTTGTGCCAGTAGGGCCCTGAGAGGCTCAAGGCTCGAAAGGCTGAAGGATCAAGAGGCCAGATGGGGTTGAAGCCAGCAGGAGCTGATTCATCTGCCTGCTCCCCAGGACAGTAGTGGGACTCATAGGGAGGTGGGGGCTCCACTGGGCTCTGGGAGCCTTCGCTGATTAAATATTGCTTTGCCAGGTTGTGACAAATCAAGACCACAGATGTTGGGCTAGCAAGGTGGCTCAGCAGGTAGGAGCATATTCGTGTGTGTGTGTGTGTGTGTGTGTGTGTGTGTGTGTGTGTGTGTGTGTGTGTACTGGAAAATAAATCAAAAAAAACCTCAAGATCACAAGTCACTAACTCCCATCTTTTTTTATTATCTCGATTTGCAATCATTTCTGCCTGTGCCTGCTCCTTGCCTGATTTTATTTCATTGTGATGGGTGGAAAATATTAGACGCGCTCTCTCCAGTGTCTTAAAAATGCCTAAGCACAAAAAATGAAAAATGAAATCTGTCAAGGCCAGTTTTGGACTCAGTCGTGTGACACGCAGTTTCCAAAGGCCATGGGCTGAGTCCTAACATGACCGGGCTTTCCAGGTTGATGGCGCTGAAGCATTCTGCCGAGTTCCTCTCCCTGATGCAGAGAGGCCGGCGAGTTAGCTGACCCATTCTGGCTCCCGAGTTTCTCCCGCATGCCCAGGGGTGTACAGTGAGGTCAGCCAGAGGGGCTGGGGTGGTAGATCCGGCAAGGCTGAGCTCGGCTCCCTTTCTACCACGTGGCTCAGTAACAAAGCAGCCACGACAAATTGCCAAGGCCTGCGAAGAGGCTCAGGAGCGGATGAGCTCCTGGTGCGAGAGAGGGAGCAGCGGCTGAGCTTGCCTCGGCTCTGATTAATGGGCAGGATTCGGCCAGGAGACGGCTCCTCCGGGGAAACCATAATATTTGCAGAGCGGATTCATACAGACCCCAAGCTTTTCGGCCTCCCCTCTCTGTAAATCGTTGTGTTTCTCTCTCTCTCTCTCTCTCTCTCTCTCTCTCTCTCTCTCTCTCTCTCTCTCTCTCTCTCTCTTTCTCACACCTCTGGAAGTCGGCATTTAATATCATGCGTCTTCCTCTATCCTGCTTCATCTCTTATTTTTAGACAGTCTCTCACTGAAACTGGAGCTCTCGCCCATTCCGTGAAACTGGCCCCTGAGCACAGGGATCCTCCTGTCTCTGGCTCCACCATGCTATGGTTATAGGTCCATGCCACCAAGCCCAGCATGGGTTCTGGGGGTCCAAACTCAGGGCCTTGGGCCTGTATGTGGCAAACACTTTGCCAAGGGAACCATCTCCCTACTTCCTTGATCTCTTTAGTCTTTAGTTCTTTTCTTAGATGCATGTTTAAGTGGAGGAAGCCAGGCCTGGTGGTACTATAATCCCAGTACTAGGGAGGTGGAGACTAGAGGGATCAGGTATTCAAGGCCATCCTTCGCTGCATAATTGGTGACCCCATCTGAAAAATAAAGAAACATAAAAAAGAATCCCAATATTGATCTCTGGGCCCCCCCACACCCTCACACATGTGCGCTTGCACCTGCACACACACACAGACCAAAAACTTTGATCTTTCATTTGATTCTTTGAGGGGACCACAAACCTACGTGCCCTCCTAGTACCCCTAGCCTAGAAGATTTTTAAAGTATTTTTGAGGACCTAGCAAATCTAGGTGCTATGATTTGAAGATTTATTTTTTTTTAATATTTATTTATTATGTATACAAAATTCTGTGTGTATGCCTGCAGGCCATAAGAAGGCACCAGCCCCATTATAGACGGTTGTGAGCCACCATGTGGTTGCTGGGAATTGAACTCAGGACCTTTGGAAGAGCAGGCAATGCTCTTAACCTCTGAGCCATCTCTCCAGCCCCGATTTGAAGATTTATTATCCAAAAGTTCATTCATACATTGACGGTTTGGCTACCAGTGTGGCCATGTTGAAATAAAGGAGCCTTTAAGAGATTTGATCTACAGGAAGTTCAGAAAGGTCATGGGATTTCATCCTCGATAATGTTGTCTAACTGAAGTGGGGTTAGTTCCCCAAAGACAGAGTTGTTATAGGAAGAGTGTGTCTGACCCTGTGATGTTTTACCACTGCTCACAGCCTGGATGTTTTGTGTTATCCCCCATAACGCTCTCACTAGAGCTAAGCCAATGCCAGCACCAGAAATTCTTATCTCTATAAAGCACCCAACCTCAAGTATTTTGTTATAGCATCAACAACAAAAACTATGATTATGAAAATGTTGCCTTGCCGGGTGGTGGTGGCGCACACCTTTAATCCCAGCACTCAGGAGGCAGGGGTAGGCGGATCTTTGTGAGTTCGAGACCAGACTGGTCTACAAGAGCTAGTTCCAGGACAGGCTTCAAAGCTACAGAAAAACCTTGTCTTGAAAAACCAAAGGGGGAAAAAGGGGAAGAAAAGAAAGAAAAGAAAATGTTGCCTCAATCTCTCCTCCCCTAGAATGAACAAGATCACTCTGGGGTCACGTGTGTGCCTACAAGACCATCATCAAGTTGTTCTGAATGCTTCGCCGTGTTCTAAGAACTTATCAGAAGAGACCCATCAGTTCTTAAAGGTCTGGAAAGTGTGTTTGGATGAGAAACGTCTTACTCATTAAGTCCTCAAAAAGGACGGTTGACCTGAACATATTACATTTCCTCATATGAGAGAAATAAAGGCGTGGTCTCGTGTTTGTGACGCTAGAAAGGCAGGATTCATGGAGCCTTCCCTTTCCACCCTCCCGGGGCCTGAGGACCCCAGGGTGTGGTTGGCCTCCCAGATGCTCTGCAGGGTTGCGCTTACATCACTGTGAGGTTATGGCACAGTGTACCCGCTGCTCGCTCTTCCTGCTGTTGAGTGCTGGTTGTTTTCGTCTATAATCCCAAGCTTCATGGGGTGGAAACTGTGGGAAAATCATCTCTACAGCAATGGAAAGTTCCTAACTATGAGACCAGCCAGCCACCTATGGTGGGAAAGGCTGGGAGAGGGCCCCATTGCATCAGCTACAACAATAGCGAACACTGTGAAAATGGAAAAAGATTGGTTTTATAGGCCTACCGTTCATCTCAGAAGGAACAATGTGTTTTCGGGCATTAGGTTCAAATTCGTTTGGCTTCTTCCTCAGCTGCTCGGTTGTTTTTCATCCTGTTTCATTAGCAGACTATTTCCCAGCCCAAATATTGCACACTGCTAATTCCCAGTAGTCATGGTCTGTGTGTCCCCAGGCCTTTTCTCCTCATAGGGAACTACTGTCCCCAACACTGTCTTACCTGGGACTCCCCAGGGAGAATCTCACCTGGGTCACTGCAAAGCTCAGGACCACTATGGGTAACACCCCTGTCCTCAGTGATGTCAGCTGCCAGCCCTTTATGGCTCATCTTATTGCGGTGATGCAACTCTATATGCTGTGTCTTTCAGAAGTCTTGAGCACTTCTCTTTCCCTCTCTCCCACTAAACACAGTAGTACTCTCCCAGACTCATTGGTCTCTCTTAAAAAGAGTTTCTGGTAGCCCAGTGGCCTGAGCAGGCCTAGACATGTCTGAGCCCCAGTAGGGGATGGCTTAGGTTTAGGCCAAAGCCACTGCTATGTGACTTTCAGTTTCAAAGTAACTGCCGTTCTGTCTGTCCATTTTAACGCTCTCTAAAAATACGGCTAAGTTTGGTGACGTGAGTTATTCAGTCAGAAGTTGGTCATTTTCTTCTGCCCATCCTTATGAGTTTCTCAGGTATCAAATGATTGACTGATTAGTGAGCTTTAATCCCAGCACTTGGGAGACAGAGGCAGGTAGATCTCTGTGAGTTCAAGGCCAGCCTGGTCTACAGAGTGAGTTCCAGGACAAGCTCCAAAGCTACACAGAGAAACTCAAAAAACAAAAAACAAACAAAAAAAAAAAAAAAGAAAAAAAAAAAACAAAAAGAATGAACTAATTGGTGCACGGTACGACTGGCTGGCCCTTGAGAAACAGGGCCAAGTGAAAGAAGCCAGATACACCAAGCCACAGGCTGTAAAACTCCATTTATTTGAAAATGTTCAGAGCAGGCGAATTTAGAGAGACAGAAACCAGACTGCCAGAGTCTAGGAGGAGAGGGGAATGGGGAGGGCCGGCTAACTGAGAGAGTTTCTTTTGGGGACAATGCAATTTTCCTGAAAAGAGGGTGCTGCCACCTGAGAAGCATGCTACAACAGACGGAAACACTCCTGTCCCCATGCTTGTTTTAGTGCTGGGACTCAAACCCAAAACCTTGCTTGAACTAGCATCTAGTGATCGGCTGCTGAGCTACATCCCCAGCTCCGGAATGGACATTGAAAGGAATGGATGGTGTTGTTAAAAACAAACAAATGAACAAAAATTTATTTTGTACAGCAGTGAATGTATAATAGAAAGAAGAAAAAAGAAAAATGAAAGAGAGAGAGAGAAAGAAGGAAGGAAGGAAGACGATGGAACCAGGCCTTAGGCATGCCTGTCAAGCTGGCATTTAGGAAGGGGTGGCAGGAAGGTCAAAAGTCAAGGTCATTTTTGACTATTCAGTGAATTCAAGACAGGCTGGGAGACAGGTGACTCTGTCTCAAAAATACCAAAAGCTCTGGTAAGGTGCCCATGTTTCTGAAAGCAAGTAACTCCACTGGAATGCATTGGTCTCTCCCCCCTCTCCTCTCTCTCTCTCTCTCTCTCTCTCTCTCTCTCTCTCTCTCTCTCTCTCTCTCACACACACACACACACACNTCTCTCTCTCTCTCTCTCTCACACACACACACACACACACACACACATGTCAGGAGCCATTTCCCCCCCAATCATTACAGAAACCATCACCCTAGGGAGTCTGCAGAGAACCTCACACCCATAATTATGTTCTATTGAAAACCTGCCCCTCATCCAATTAACTGTTAATCTTAGCGGAACCCGCCTCACATTCCAGCTATCCAGGGAACCAGGTGTGGCAACTTGTGACTTCTGGCCTAACCGTCCGAAAGTAACCTAGCTACGTGACCGGAACCACGCGGCGAGATCCCGTACCCTGCCCCCCATTCCTTGCCATATATAAACTGTAACCCATCCCTAATAAACGGAGGCTTTGACAAATCTGCTTAGCCTCCTTCTTCTGTCTTAGCTCATTCCCTTCCAGGTAGCGCCCCTCCGAGACCCTGGAGTAACCGATTGCGGGTGGGTTACAATCCCCTAGACTGAGTAGCCC